ACTGATAGAGCATAGTGCTTCTGTCAGGTAAGATAATTATGTACAGTTACTGTCTAACTACCCATTTGGGTTTCCAGCATTCTTCTTAGAGTCTGGCATGCTTTCAGAATGCAATGATGGTGATTAGGGATAGGGAATTGATTTGTGCCTTTTAACTGGGAACTGAGATTTCATGAGTCAGGGTTTCTGCCGCTCTGCCTGTGGGAGGCTGTGCTCCCACTCAGAAGCAAGCCAGTCCTGGACGTGGGGTGCATGCTGGTGCTGGGGAGTTACACAATAGCCAGGAGGGGTCAGGACCTCAAAGCTTGAGTGGGGTCAGGACCGCAAAAGAATTTTAAGTATTCCTTTCCTGTTAGGCAATTCCCTTAAAATATCCTCATTTGCTAGTGAAGTTTATGAAACATGGTCACCTTGTGTGAGTCGTGCTTTGGAAAATAAAGAAAGGATCTGAGTTCTGAGAAACCCATGGCAGCAAGACAAAGAGGCCCAGAGAACTAGCGTTGTCACTCCTAACTGCTAGGTGCAAGGCCTCATTGCACCCTCCTAACAAAGTAGTACAGAGCCGGGCCTCCCCGGTGGCGCAGCGGTTGAGCGCTGGGTTGCGAAGCTGCTGGCGACCTCTGTGGCGCCGGTTCGATCCCCGGCTGCTCCCCGGCCACCAGAGGAGGGTCCCACATGGCACGCAGACCTCTCCTGCCACCCGCTGCTCCCCTCAGCAGTGTACTTCGGTCCTTCTGTCTGCTCTGCTCCCCGCTCTGGCTCTGGTGAATTCTCTCACCCTCCCGCGCTTCTGACTGTACCCAGTGCATGTATAAACAAAACAAACAAACAAACAAATAAATAAAACATGCCTCTATAAAAAAAAAAATTAAAAATAAATGTCTTCAAAGTAGTACAGAGTCAAGAAAAGAATTTAGGGTAACCCCAACTGCCTCCATTTTGAAAAAAAAATTTTTCATCAAAATATAATTCATAATCCATAAAATCACCCTTCTATAGGGCCTCCCCTGGTGGCGCAGCAGTTGAGCGCTGTGTTGTGAGGCTGCTCGCAGAACAGTTCTACCACCCAAGGAAGAAACCCCACAGCCAGTAGTAGTTGCTCTCCATTCTCCCCTCACCCAGTCTCTGGCAACCACTAAACGACTTTCTGTCTCTCCAGATGTGTCTACTTGGGCCATTTCCTATAGATAGAACCATGCGGTGTGTGGACTTTGAGTCTGGCGTCTCTCACTTAGCACCATGCTTCCAAGGTTCATCTTGCACTGTGGCATGAATCAGTACTCATTCTTTTTTGTGCCTGAGTAATATTCTACTGTGTGGGTGAACATTTTGTGTATCCCTTCAGCAGCTAATGGAGACTTGGATTGTTTCTACTTTGGGGTTATTATGAAAATGCTGCCATAAACATTCATGCACATGTGTTTGAGTAGTTGAAAACACCTATGTGTTTTTAACTTAAGCTTTCTATTTGGAATTAATTTCAAATTCACAGGAAGTTGTAAAAATAGTACTGAAAAGTCCTGTTTACCCTTTACCCAGTTTCCCCCTGTGGTTACATTAACCTGACTATTAACTATTAACAACTATTAAAATTGACACTGCTATAATATGCATGTATAATACTACCCCCCTCTTTTATATGAAACCAAGTTTCAGAAACTTAGAAACTTGTCCAAGGCGGAGGAGCAATCAGGATGACCTGCTGACTCAATGCTTTTGTTACAAATGCTGACCTTTTGGTTTAATGGCCCATGCATAGTCCTACCCAAAAATGCCCCCCCAAACTATTTTTCCAAGCCGTCCTTTTCTAGCAGACATTTATCACCCCTCTGCTGCCAAAGTACTTCTCTGACAGCTAGTCTGAGTATTTCCATAAAAGGACAAATATGAAAAAAAAAAAGTGGAAAAGGTTGCTATAATAGTTTTTTAAAATGATTTTCTTTCTGTGACTAACCAGAGGTGTGCTTGCACACCTCTATGCGTGTACAAAATACACTCAATCACTCAGTTTTAAATGGTCCATCTTATGTTATGTGAATTCCACCCCCAACAATGGATTGTCAACATTTCTTTGAGACTTTTTCTCTTTCCCAAACTTAGGATCAGCTGACTCAGAAGCAGGAGCTGAGAGATCCCTTGGCACATTTACTACCTAAGATTTTCAGGGTGAGAGTTGAGGACAGAAAAATGTGTTTTTCTTTTTCGGTAGATCTGCCTGTTCTGCTCCCCACTCTGTCTCTGGTAAAATCCTCTCACACCCTGCACCTCTGGCCTATACCCCAGTTCTTGAATGCATAAATAAAATAAAAATATTTCCAAAAAAAGAGAGAGAGAGAGAGAAATACTGCTTCAAAATGATCTACAACACCAATATGTTTCAACATCATTCACAGCATAAGTTTCTCAAGAGAAAAAAAACACTGTTGGCTGCCAAGATTTTCACCCACTACAATCAGCTGCTATAGTTACAAAATGGACTTCGAAATCCTGACACTAGGTGCAGGAACAGAAGCAGACCAGGGAAATGGTAGGAAATACTGAAGAGTGGACACATAGCCATCTAGAACAGAGCCTACATTTTCCAGTCCATCTTGTTGATCGGTGTGGCCTTGTGATTCCATCCCTAGTCAATGGGATATAATCAGTAGTTACTGGCAAATGTTTTACAGTCAATACTCTTTGGGGATGCAGGTGATAGAGGAAGGCCTGGTTTGTACCATTTGCCACAGTATAAATACTCCATGTATAAGTACATGGCTCATTTCAAGCATCCATCTTGGTGATACTGGACATGGATTTGGGAAGAAATGGAACTTTCATAAGTTGGGACCAACTGGCTCCATGTAATACTCCAGCACATTGCTGGATGTAATGGGGTATTAGATGTGATATCTTATAGAAGAGGAAGCAAGTCTTAATGGGTGGGGCATGCCCTGTTCTTCCCCTTCCTCTTCCCTACTGGCAACAAAGTAGATCCACTTATCACATTGGATCATAAGGAGGAGGCTGTGTATTGAGGAATGATAGAATCACAATAAAGAAGCTTGGTCCCTAATGACCACAGCACTCCTCAGAGGGTGCCGGAATGTTCATCTGCAGACTTCACTTATATGACAGTTGTGAAAAGAGAAAAATTTCTGTCTCATAAATGCAATTGGTATTTTGACGGTTCCTATTCAGTGCAATCTCAGAACAAGTCAGGACATTGTGCATGCTTAGTAAGATCGCTGAACAAAACTGGTACTTAGATCTGCGAGAACCAATTTGAGGCAACAAAAATGCTGAATCTTTCTGGAAGGGACAGAATCGAGAGAGAATGAGAAGTAGGGAGAAGGTCTGTGTTCAGTTGCTACACCCCAAAACATGCAAGCATCTTCTAGAGCATAGGGAGAGAAGAATAAGCCTAGAATGAGGCTAGCTACCATGACCATTTCCATTCACTCTATCTGAAGACTCTCTGACTATACATTTCCTCCACTCAGTTTCTTGGTAACTTAGACCCAAGATTTTTGTGCCATCAGCATGACTTTCAATCCACCATCCCCGCCTCCTTCCAGCACAGAGCATGCTAAGAATCCAACATGGTTGGATAATGAGAGTTGGGGGCACACTCAAAGACAAAGGTGGAAAGGCACGAATAACAAGACCAAGTTGGCACGGGTTGAAGCAAGAGCCTGGCAAAGCCACACACACCTGAGCAAGAAGGGGTTCTGAAAGCAATTAAATAAGGTGATTCAGTTCTGCGATAAAAACCAGGCAAAAACAAAACTTCTAGCCACATAGCGTCAAGAATCTGGACAGTAGCTCACATTTGCAGGGCCAAAAATCTTTATAAATATTTGCAGACACCTGCTGCCAATATTTAAGGTATAACAATTACCACTCTCAAGGCAGACATCCAGGCACTGCAGATAGAGCCACCCAGGTTCCCACCCTGACTCACACTCACTGGTTGTAACAAACTGCGTGTTTTGTCTAGTCTCAGTCTCTCCATTTAAAAAATGAATTATCATCAAACATATTTCATGGGTGGTTGTTAAAATTTAGAGAGAACTGACAAGCCACACATGCAAAAGATCCATGCAACATATTCTACAAATGTAAACTTTAGGTTAGAAAAGAACATATGTGGGGCCTCCCTGGTTAAGCATCAGCACTGTGAAGCTGTCCACAGCCACTGCAGCACAAGTTCAATCGCCGGCCAGGAAGGTGACCCACATGGCACAACAGACCTCTCCTGTCTCGCCCGCTGCTCCCCTCAGCAGTGGATTTCAGTCATTCTGCCTGTTCTGCTCCCTGCTGTGTCTCTGGTGAATTCTCTTAGCCTCCCATACCTCTGGCCTATACACCCAGTGCTTATATAAATAAATAAATCTTCCAAAAAAAATAAATTTTAAATTGTCACTTAAAGCTTTGTGAAATACATCTACCCCTGTAAAACACATCTACTACTAAACAGTCTACTTTTTGGCAATTCATTTCCTTGTGGTTAACCTGACACCAATATTTTCTAAAAACTAAGTTACCTGCTATAGTCAGAAAATGTATATCTAAGCAAGCTATTTGCTTCCTTCAAATAGAACTCTGAATAAAAAGAAGAGCACTGAACCTGAAATCCAATATTCATGTGAAACAGGAAGAATCTCATAGGAATCAGAGGGAACATATGGGAATAGTCCACAGAGGGAAAACTGTGAGCTCGTTAACAAGGAATGTGAATTACTTCTTCAGTAACAGCTTAGAAATGAGGAATGTGGTTTCAAAATGTCCTGATTTGGAACCAGCATTGCTCATCAAGATTGTCTGCAAACTTTGGAGCCAACCAATTATGCAGCTTCTAAATTTTGTCACTTACTTTAAGTGTTATAACAACGAGTGGTTTAAGTGATGCACAAGTATTATGGAATTCTCCTAAGTAGATAAATTTTCGTGTCTTGCAGTGCACATGTTGAACCACCTTAGCCAATATTAAGTCAAATAGAAAACAAGAATAAACTCACTTGTCAAATTCATCAAAGAGATCACAACTCTGTAGTTTTGAAAGAGCAAGTCGAAAATATTCCGCTAGAAAACAAATAAACTGTTATTAACAAGAAGAATCACAGCGTCTTAGGTTCACAGTAAGTCAGTTTGCCCCCTCATCTCCCCCAAACTCATTTCTGACTGGTATGGCCACATTTTATTTATTCTATAATGAAAATTAATGATACAACTGAAATTAGCCAGCACTAATAAGCACACTCAAAATGATAAATGCTCTAAGATTTCTTTGTAAAAACATGAGAAAACTAAGATGTCATCTGAAAATAGTCATAAAAAGTAACCCCAAAATTAGCAATAATAGATGAATTTGAAATTGACATTAATATAAAAATCAGCAAATTAAACCTATTATCAAATTCTTTGTGATATAGTTTTAAATCTTACCCCCTACCCACACCCTACCACACACACAGAGGATCAAATAAGCAATATCTAACTCAGAAAACTATCAGCATTTTGCCTCTTGGGCAGTAAGAGGCTCTCAAAAATCTAGAACATAAAGTTGTACAAAAACAATGAATTGTCAATGAGCAGAGGGAAAGCGCTTTATCGTTAGCAGATAAACTAATTCCCCATAAATTTAGCAAAATTAAAATATCAATTGATTAAAGGATTGTGGACAAAGATAGAATTTTCTGATAAAATAAAATAAAATAAAATAAACTCACAGGTAAAGTGTAAAATGGGGCACAAGGAGAAGTTAACTCACAGGGTTATCCTGCTATTCTAAATCAGAATAAAATAAAGCATAAGAACCCATGTGAATAACAACGCATCAGAACAAAAACAAAAAGCTACCTCTCAACAAGAGCTACCTTTTTTGTACTTTTATTCTACATTGCCTCCAAACAAGTTAAGATTTATATTTTAAAATTTAACTCCCTTCATTGGACCCCTAAATCATCTTCTTTAGGAATCGTTATGAAGCAGAAAGATTAAAAGTCCCTAAAATTATATAAATATGTGGTTTTAATTTAATAGAAATATTTAAATTTAATAGAACAGGGTAAGAAGATCTACTGACCTGATGTTTTTATCCCATAGGGCAAATCAAACTTATCGCTACCATAAAAGGAAGCAATCTTTTTAAAATCTGCTGCACACAGGAAAGGGTGAACTTGCTGAGACCTGAAAGAAAAAGATAAAAAATGATTTTCTCAAACGCTTACAATATTTGCAGGTGTTTAAGAACACAACTGAAAATATCTGTCACCTATCATTCATATCATTACACTGACTATGAATGTATAGTTATTTTCAAAATCATTTAAAAGTCATCACACTGACTGGGTCTCCCCGGTTGCGCAGTGGTTGAGCGCTGGGTTGCGAAGCTGCCCGCAGCATCTGCAGCGCCAGTTCGATCCCCGGCTGCTCCCCGGCCACTGGAGGAGGGTCCCACATGGCGCGCAGACCTCTCCTGCCGCCCGCTGCTCCCCTCAGCAGTGTACTTCGGTCCTTCTGCCTGCTCAGCTCTCCCCTCTGGCTCTGGTGAATTCTCTCACCCTCCCGTGCTTCTGACTGTACCCAGTGCTTGTATAAATAAATAAATAAATCTTTAAAAAAAAAAAGTCATCAGACTGGGATATGTAGTGGCACTACACATCCGGAACAGAAACCAAGAGACTGAAACCAAAATTATATTACAGCGTCAGGGTCGGAGATGAGGCATGAGTGGGGTGGGGTATGAAATTAAAGTCAAAAATCTCACCAACGCCAAGTGTAAAATGACAGCCACATGTAGGAAGAAACAAAGGAAGTAAGGGGAAATGAAAGTATGGTGCTAAGCCACTCCCAAATGAAAAGCTATGATGTATGCAAGTTAGGTCAGTTATGAAAGTTAAAAGACTAATTATAATAAAGTAAAAATCAAAATTTAACCAGCAACGATAAACCAGAGACACACTACAGGCGGGGAGAAGGGAGCAGGATCAAAACAAGAGGAGTGGGAATTTTACAGGGACAATAACCAAGATGAAAAGGCATACATTGTGCAAAAATGAAAAACGGTATAAAAAATATATAAAATAAAAATAAAAGATGATGCTAGAAAGGATGTGATTAAGCTAAGATTGACACAATCACAGAACTATGGCATATTCTCCACATCACCAGCTCTGTCTTAAAGATTCTCTCTCCTACCTCTCCCTCAGTTCCTCTCTTACATAAGAAAGTTTGATGAGGGTGGGCTCTACTTCCACTTTTTATTGCTTTTAGCACCTGGCACAGAGAAAGCAGCATGGTATGTTTCATAAGTGATTGAGTTTTAAATCAAATTAATTCTTTCTAGAACAATTAAGAAGCAGGAGGGGAACGGCCGCCGGGCGAGGGTCCCACATGGCGCGCAGACCTCTCCTGCTGCACCCACTGCTCCCCTCAGCAGTGTATTTTGTCAGTCTATCTGTTCTGTTCCCCGCTCTGGCTCTGGTGAATTCTCTCACCCTCCCACGCTTCTGACTGTACTCAGTGCTATATAAATAAATAAATCTTAAAAAAAAAAAAGCAGGAGGGGAAAATAGGTCTTTTTAATTTGAGATCTTAATGCTGATATTAAAATGCTATTTTCATCTACAGCAAGGACTGGATGCTGCACTGCCAATCCTGCTCATCCTTCCGGGCCCCTCAAAGGGCCTGACCTGCCAGCCTTTCTTAGTCTAAAAAGCTACAAGTGGAGATCGGAGTTTCACACTGGGTTTCACACTGCAGTTGTGTAAGGGAGAAGGGGTAAAACAAAGTCAGTTATATACTGGCTTTACCACTCAAAAGCCACTACTCTTGGGCAAGTCACCTCACTGGAGCTTTGTATCTTTAGAGCTGAGAACTCACATCAAATTCAGACTAAGGAAACAGGAGGAGACCAGCCCTTCCTGCTGGAGACATGATGCACAGCCCAGATTTAGTCATAAAAATGACAGCCTTGGGGTTCCAGCCAAACTTCAAAGATCTTTTTCTGGGGATCAGGGTTGATCCCCAAATTCAGGATCTGCTACAGGAAGAGGAAGTGTCAGAGCAACTGACTTAGTCTAAAAGATGACTCAGGATCTTCCTGCTCTTCTTGGGAAGGTGAACCAGAGGACTTTTCGTACCCTGGGGGCAAAGCAATATAGAACTCTGTTCTTTGAAACTGGTAGGGGTGAGGATGGTGATGCAGGCTTAATTTTATTTTCACTCAGACCTGACTAAGTCATGTAGGTGACACATTTTATTTCTACATGAAATAATTGTTCAGCACTGTGTCCCACATACTGTAGGAACTCACTAAGTATCATTCTTACCTGTAATAATTATACACTACATTGTATATGAGTTTATCCCATTATGTTATATTATATTACATTATAATGTGACATATTACATTATTTCTACTGTTGTCACTCCTACAATAGCCTGGAAAGGAAGATAGATTTCATTAATCAACTTAGACGAAGAAACTGAAGCAATGACAAGTGAAATAACTATAGAGTATTATCTGGGGTCACTAACGCATATTTAACTAAACTGAAACCCTCACCCCCATGTTTAATTCCAAGGAAAGGATTCCTCCTTTCAGCACTGCAGATAACACCTCCAAGCTTCCCAGCAGACATTCTCCTGCTTGCTACTAGGAAGGAGAAAGCACAGCCCCCAGAGAATACTATTCTGAGTGGACAAATGCAAATCTACCGTTGCTAAAACTGTAGACTTAACGCACCTGCTGGGCAATCTTGAATAAATCACTCTTTTGAGTTTTCTCAGAAAGAAAATCTTTTTTCTCAAAAGATGGAGAGAACCTCAATTAGAGAGCAGCATTTTAAACCCTGCAGCTCATAACCTGTAGGTGGTTCATGAAATCAATTTTGTGAGTCATAATCAGCAATTTTTTTTTTATGGAGAACAGAACAGGTGAATTTATTGAAATACACTGTTAAGGAGGGCAGCAGCCAAGACAGGAAAGGTCTGCTGCACCCAGTAAGGGTCCAGAGCCTCTATTTTTATACTCCAGGCATCATTGACTTGTTATGGCAATCAGTCTTGGGTGTGTCTTGACTAAAGTTCTGGTTCTCTAGTTTATCAGTCCAGTGTCCATAGGAATCCCATTCACTCCCTTTATCCATTCAAGTCGCCCAATCTTGCTTCCTGGGCATGGAGTGGGAGCATAGTTTTTATTTTATGTAATTCTTACATCATTTTTCATTTTTGCACAATGTATGCATTTTCATTTTGGTTATATTCCCCATATAATTCCCATCCCCCTTATTTTGACCCTAATGCCTCCTCTCCTCTCCTCTCCCTGCCCCCCCCCCCAGTAGTGTGTCTCTGGTCTACAGTTGCTTGTTGATTTTGATTTTTTCTTTATTATAGTCTCTTTCCTGATCCCTTATTTAAGTTTTCTAAATTCCTGCTATGAGTGAGACCATCCAGTATTTTTCTTTTACTTTCTGGCTTATTTCGCTGAGCATGATCCCTTCCAGCTCCATCCATGTTGCTGCAAATGGCATGAGTTTATCTTTTTGATTGCTGAGTAATATTCCATTGTGTATATGGACCACATCTTCTTGATCCAGTCATCTATTTTTGGGCATTTGGGTTGTTTCCATAGCTCAGCTATTGTAAATAGTGCTGCTATAAACATGGGGGTGCAGGTGTCCTTTGGAATTAATGTTTCTGTGTCCTTTGGGTAGATACCTAGGAGTGGAATTGCATAATCAGCAATTTTTTAAAGTGCATAGGCAGAAGAGGGGCTATCTAGAGTAGGAAGGGTAAAACTCTTTTATTATTATAAATCGAAAGTACTATTGAAGTAGTTACCAAAGTAAAATGCATTCCTCACTATGAGTCATGTTCATAAAGTTTAAGAACACTGTTCTAGTTTTTCAGTGGCCAGAAGTAGCCACACCCCAGGGGTGGACTGTGAGCAGCATGTGGTCACATGCAAAAAGGTTTTAAGGATCCACAGTTTTCCAGAGTTGGTTGATTTTAAAGGTATAAGCAGTCCCAAGCTTAGGGACCAGAAACAGAAAGGTGTAGTAATATAATAAATTTAAAAATTAGAAATCTTTATTCTTAGTGAATAAAGTGCTAAGAAGCTTGTACTTGTTTTATACATTTAATTCAGCAAAACCCAGACCATCACTTATTTATATTTATCTAGAAATATTTGACCAGCACTCTGTCAAAGTTTAGGTCACAGAAGAAAAGTACACTTGTGGATGAAAGAGTATATTTTCTACATGCTTTGATAACTATAATAAACTATCTTTATTTGCATTCTACGTAGATGAGCCATTATTTGTATTTGATACAGTTCATTTAAAATCAGTTCAAGTTTCTAACCATAAAGTTTAACCAGGAGAGAGACAAGAAAGAAGTCACAAAATGACAAGAGTGGAAAATACATGGGAACAACAAGGAGGAAAAATTAAACCCTGAAGAACAGTTCACTATTTTATGATCAAAACAAACAGACCTCTCTAATCTCACCTGTGTGAAAAGAACACTGGTCTAATTGAGTTCTTCAATGCCTTTTCTTAAAATATATGCAGAGCTCTGACTAAAAGCACAAAAAGAGACAGGATATTCAAGCTCTTCCTTAAATATAGGGTGTCTGCTTTATATGCTAAGACTTGTATAAAAAAAGTAAATAAGTGTGGAAAATTATTACAAACACATTTTGAACATTTTGTAAGTCACAGTTTCTCTTATATTTTTACCTCAGGAGAGAAGCAAAAGCTGGCTTTGATAAACAAGGCTGGATCTGATTTCTCCGCTTCATTTCCACAGGTGGCACCCTGTGAGACAAAAATAGTGGCAGTCAGAAACCAGAACTGGGCAGCCAGCCCAAAGGGAAGCAAATGCTCTGGGAACCCAGTCGGTTCCACCAGAGCGGCTTCTTGGGCAGGCAATGAAACATCATCCCCTGAGGTAGGACAGTACCTTCTCCAAATCCTGCACACACTGAGGGTTCATGGACGCAAGGTGAGAGAGTGGAAAAGGTTCAGGGGATGAGCAACCCAAAAGTGGTTCCAACAGCAGCGAATCAAAGGGCCCTCTGAGAAGGGCTGGAGTGATGCACCATGGAAGCCACCGCCAGGCTCACTTTTTAGAAGTCCCTGAAAACCTAAGAAACCCCACTCACCCCAAGTGCACACAGCTATCTAGGTCCTTCAAGCCACATCTGGGCACACACACTGGCAGCAAACACCAAACTATAGGTTCCACAGACCCTGCCTTGTGATCTGGGACTCCAGAAGTCACACTGTTTAGAGTGGAATCTAGCTCTGTTCTTGGCTCAGGTTAGGCCCTTGTGTGTCTCCTGAATGGAGCACTTGTCTCTACAATTTAAAAGGGTATTGTAAAAAGGCAGAGCACAACAAAAATAAATGTAGGGGGTAGAGGTGGCAGTATCCAAACCTAGCAAAGGAGGAAGAAAACAGCTTAATGAAAGAATATATTATGATCATAAATTATATGAAGAATTCATTCAAAATGAAAATCAAGCAGTTTTCTTATACAATCCACAGGATTCAAATGAAAAGAAAATAGCCTAAACTTTTTATGGACAGAATTAATCTCGATCTTTTTGGTATCAAATCCCCAAAGTTAGAACTGTTAGGTTTCTGAACATATACAGAACAGCATATTTTGTGAATACCACAAATGGCAAGAATCCCTTAATCTTTATGTAAGGAAGATACATAACCAGCTAAATCAGGCCATAAAAACAAATTTATTCAGGGGAACTCCCTGGTGACTCAGGGGTTAGGCTCAGCGCTATAACCACCATGGACTGAGTTCAATCCCCAGCCAGGGAGCTAACTCACTTGGTGCGGCAGAACTCTCCTGTCTCGCCTGCTGCTCCCCTCAGCAGTGCATTTCAGTAGATCCACCTGTTCTGCTCCCCATTCTGTCTCTGGTGAATCTTCTCACCCCCCACACCTCTGGCCTACACTTTAGTTTTTGTATGCATAAATAAATAAAAATCTTTAAAAAGCAAATTGGGCCTCCCTGGTGGTGCAAGCGGTTAAGCACAGTATTATGAAGCTATCTGCAGCCTCTGCAGCAATCCCAGGGAGATACCCACATGGCGCAGCAGACCTCTCCTGTCTCACCTGCTGCTCCCCTCAGCATTGTATTTTAGTAGATTTGTCTGTTCCTCTCTCCACTCTGTCTCTGGTGAATCCTCTCACCCCCACACCTCTGGCCTGCACCCCAGTTCTCATATGCATAAATAAATCTTTGAAAAAAATAAATAAAAAATAAATTTATTCAGAGAACAAGATGAAGTGCAAGCTATCACTTTCAATAATTAAAATAATTTTTAAGATTATTGAAACATAAGAAACCAACTGTTTTAGGACATTGTGAAGACAAACTTCGGCTTTTTTTCAAAAGGAGATTTTCTGTCTTGAATAGTTTTTAAAGCATAAGTTCAAACACCCATCTGAGGTAATTTGCCAGTACTTTTTATGACTGGAGCAGCATGTTAGCTTAGGAGTGACATAAACACTCTTCAGATCCCAATGACAAAAGACTGTGCTGAATTCAGATCCTTTTCATTGTCTTCTTTATCATTTCCATGTGCCCAACAATAGGATTTGTACAGAATTAGCAAACTAGTAAGATTCTTGTTTTCCGTTCTAGTGTTTCAGTAAGTGTGGGACAGAGACAGAATGTGGCAAATAGGAGATCCCTATGGTATAATCCATGTGGTATTTATCAAGCTATATATTTCTTGAGCTCAATTATTTAATTTCAAAACCTAAAAACTTAAGAGTCAAGCCTACCCACTAGCATTGTTTGTTTTTTCTCCCCAGGGAAGATTTGCCTAACTTTCTTCCATGAAAAACATACAACCATGTTTCAATCTGTGATGAAATTAAATGCAGAAACATCAATTTATATTTTATATACTAAGCACAAGCCAGAAACTTGGTCTGGGCTCTAATATTAAACCACTAGCAAAAAAAAAAAAAATTTTGAACTTTTGTTTAAGACTGGAAGTTGTCACATGATTTATTTTCATGTGAGTATATATTGCCACATAACCACTTTGGTTACTTATAGGTCAACCAAAGTTATTCTGAGTCAAAGGACTGACAATGATGACAAAGGTTAAAGAATTATTATAGAGATTTTCTCAGCAAAAAAGCTACCTGTGCCTCTTCGAAGTTTAACATGTGATACTGCAAGTCTAAGTTGTTTTAAAATGTACATATTTCATCAGTCACCAAACATTTTTAAACAACGAAACCATATGTGGTATCTATATTTTATCAACAGACGCTTATCCAAGTATCTCATGTTCTAAAAGTCAAGTACCAGAGTCCAAGAATGTCATGGGGTTTTTCCTACAGGGCCTTCTAATATCATTTGTGTGTCTGTGTGAAAAGCCAGTTTGGGAGTTACTTTTAAAAAGCAAGAATGAAGGGCCTCCCTGGTGGTGCAGCGGTTGAGCACTGGGTTGCGAAGCTGCTGGAGGCCTCTGCAGCGCCGGTTCAATCCCTGGCTGCCGGGCGAGGGTCTCACATGGCGCGCAGACCTCTCCTGCCGCCCGCTGCTCCCCTCAGCAGTGTATTTCATCAGTCTGCCTGTTCTGTTCCCTGCTCTGGCTCTGGTGAATTCTTTCACCCTCCCGCACTTCTGACTGTACCCAGTGTTTGTATAAATAAATAAATAAAATGTTAAAAAAAAAAAAAAAACAATGAAAAGCAAGAATTAAACTTACCAATAGACATTTGTTCCCCATAATATACAATGCAGCACATAGTAGAGGAAGACAGCACTCAAGATTATGGCCACGAGGTAGGCTTTCATGGCTGGCCCACCTGAAACACAGGGACAAAATAAAGAAAAAAGCAAGATAGTTATACAGATGGATGTACTCAATGGCTCAAATATAAGCATTAGTGAATAAACAGAGAACAGCCAACAGAAAGGACACACAACTGTTATTTTGGAAATGTGCACTTTTTGTGCAGAACAAGAATGTTTTCTCTGACTTTCTTCATCCTCCTTCCAGTACAATGTGATTCATATTTAGACCAATAATCAGTCCCACGGTTTCAAAGCTGGTGGCTTCTGTACTACTTTCTTGTGTTAGAGAGGAGAGAGTATTCAAAAGGTAATAATGTAATACTGCATGCCAGTTAACAGCAAAGTTAGCTAAAATAGAAATCTCAAAGCATTCCTTTGCCTTCACAGAATATACTAAACATAATTTAAGTATTTCTTGATCATGTGGGTTTCACCTTAACAAATGTGATTGTTTTTGCCCCACATCTGGAGAGAAGGAGCCTGTTAGGAAGATATGACTAGGTCAAAGCCCAGTAGCCTCCATGGCAAAGCAAGCCAAGCACACTTGTGCCTCCCTTTCTACTTTGCTCTGTCTTCCTCACCCATTTGTAATGTATGCTATCTTCATGTAGGGTAGGTTATTCAAAAAAGTTTTCCAATTCTTCTTGGTAAAAAGGCAAGAAACAAATTACATGATACTTAGTGGGTAAAATATATATGGTTTCCTATTAGAAAATTGCTAAATCCAAGAGGTGGAGAGAATTAAAGTTTGAGGCTATCACAGTAAAAGTTTCAGACAATGAGTTATTTGGGACATTAGATGCATCACTGAAGTGGCTAACTGAGGAATCGAAGATAAAACAGTGGCCAGGGCCTGGCCCTTCAATGCGTTCAACAGGTGTTAGATGGCCTTCCTCCTCCTGGACTGCATGACTTGAGAAGGGTCAAGGATCTGGGCCCTAAAAGGCAATCCCTTAAATAGAAGGGTTTCATAATATTAGGTACTGGCCAGAGGCCTTGAGCCAGGCTTCATGACGACAAAAGAGCCTATTGGTGGTGACAGCAAGCTGATGTGGACTTGGTTTGTCTCATCTCTTTGACTGACCTGACCTCAGCATAATGGTTTTTTGTTCTGTTTTGTTTTTGTTTTTTTGTGGGGCCCTCGCTGGCAGCCAGGGAATGAACCGGTGCTGCAGAGGCTGCGGGCAGCCTTGCAGCCCATCGCTCAACTGCTGTGCCACCAGGAGAGGCCCAGCGTAATGCTTTTTAATGTAGGTTATCAACCAACATGAATACAGGACACACACACATACTCCAAAACCACAGTGGAGTTATGTATGTACCCTGTGGCTTTGAAACATCACTACAAGCCACTTTTGTCATACATGCTGAACATCTCCATCAGGAGTGTCCAGCAGCTCTGGAAGTTCTAGAATCCATAAGTTAGACTTGTACTGAGATGGTTTTAAAAGTTACTAATACTAGCCTTAAGAATATCCTAGACAGTATTTTTACCATGGGCCAAAATAATCACTAGAGCAACCTGCTTACATACTCTAAATATCTACGTCCTCACACAGAATAACTTCATTTATGCAAGAACACACAGGACTATCAATTGGCAGTTTCAAAAGAACTCAGTCTTTAGAAGTCAGTATTTGCAACTCAATTTACTTATCTGTCCCCCAAAAGACCTTCTTTAGGAAATTTATGTATTATTTTACAAAGCATGGAAGTATGGCTAAGCAAGATTTTTGTTTTCATTCAGCAATATGTGGCTTACCTGAAAACACAGAAGCGTGAGAGAACTTTTCTTCCTTCAAAAAGTAAAATGAACCTACTCTTTTTTTTTTTCTTTTCATTTTATTGAGGTATCAGTTTACACTGTCTAGGTTTCAGGTGTACAGTTTCTCACTTCAGCAACTGTATATTTCATATCACACCCACCACAAATGTCTAGTCACCATCTATTCCCTCCCTGCCTCTTCCCTTCTAGTAACCACCACTGTATAATGTCTTACACCAGTGTGTAACCACCATTGTGTAATGTCTTAAGGGTTTTTAGTTTGTAAGATTGTTTGATTGCCTTTTTAGAAATATTCTACAAATGTTATTTATCTTTCTTTCTCCTTCCAACTTATTTCACTTAGATAAACCCCTCAAAGTCCATTTATGTTGTCACAAATGGCAAGATTTCATTTTTTTTTTTTCTAAGACTGAGTAGTATTCACAGTATTCCACTGTGAATATGCACCACATCTTAGTCCACTCATCTGTTGCCAGGCACTTGGGTTGTTGGGTTGTTTCCATGACTTGGCAGTTGTGAATAGTGCTGCAATTAACAAAGGGGTAAATATACTTTTTTGAATCAGTGTTTTCATATTTTTCAAATATCAAGAAGAGAGATTACTGGATCAGATAGTACTTCTGTTTTTAACTTTGAGTAACCTCAAAACCAACTTATGGGCCTCCCAGGTGGCGCAGTGGTTGAGCGCTGGGTTGCGAAGCTGCCCGCCGGTTCGATCCCCAGCTGCTCCCCGGCCACCGGAGGAGGGTCCCACATGGTGCGCAGACCTCTCCTGCCGCCCGCTGCTCCCCTCAGCAGTGTACTTTGGTTCTTCTGCCTGCTCTGCTCCCTGCTCTGGCTCTGGTGAATTCTCTCACCCTCCCACGCTTCTGACTGTACCCAGTGCATGTATAAATAAATAATTAAATAATTAAATAAATCTTTTTTAAAAATCCAACTTATATTCCTCTCAACAGTGCATGAGGTTCTCCTTTTCTTCACATCCTCACCAGTACCTTCCTTCTTGACCTCTCGGTTAAGTCATTCTAACTGGTATGAGATGAAATCTCCATGGGGTCTTGATGGTAAGTGATGTAGAACATCTTTCCATGTGTCTCCTGGCCATCTGTATGTCTTTTTGGGTGAAATGCTTTTTTAGAGCAGCTGCCCCTTTTCAGGTTGTATGTTTGTTGTTGAGTTGTATTGTTATTATGTTTTTGATTTTAACACCTGTCTGACAGTTTGCAAATATCTTCTATTCAGTAGTTTGCCTTTTCATTTGAACATTGGTTTCTTTTACTGTGCAGAAGCTTTTTACTTTCATGTACTCCCATCTGTTTATATTCTCCTTTGTTTCTTGCTGTTGGAGATGAATCCACAAAGACAACTCTGAGGCTGGTATCATAGAGCTTATCAACAATGTTTTCCTCTAAGTGTTTTATGGTTTCAGGTCCTACATAAAATGAACCTACTCTTGAATACCCACTGCACACAGAATCTGAGAAAAATTTAGGGAACTTAGTCACTCTGGTATTTTATAGGTGATTCAAAGTATCCATACTCAAGTTGCAAAGTAGACCAGGCCCAGCCAGGATATCCTTGTGATAAACATGTATAGTTTTGCTTGCTCACAGGAAGAAGCTTCCACAAACAAATGAGTTCCCTGATTATAATTCTATAAATGGAATGACCATATTGTTTTGAACAAAAGCATTCAAAGGAAAAGCAGTTTGAACTTAACACAGTGCCTGTTTAAAAACAAAACAAAACACATAAGGCCCTTCAGTGTAGCTTCAGTTACCAAAAGTTTACATGACAGAGGCCAGCTTCTTGGCAGCAGTTGCTCTGAAGACCAGAGTCCCTAAAACGTCCTTTACAAAGTTTAAATAAAAAAGCAATTGTCGGACCTCCCCTGGTGGCGCAGCGGTTGAGCATTGGGCTGCAAAGCTGCCCGCAGCCTCTGCAGCGCCGGTTCGATCCCTGGCCACTGTCGAGGGTCCAACATGGTGCGACAGACCTCTCCTGCCGCTGCCACTGCTCCCATCAGCAGTGTTCTTCATCAGACTGCCTGTTCTGTTCCCCGCTCTGGCTCTGGTGAATTCTCTCGCCCTCCCGCTCTTCTGACTGTACCCAGTGCTTGTATAAATAAATAAATCTAAAAAAAAAGGCAATTATCTTCTGAAGTCAAGAGCAGCAAGGGCAAGTGGGATTCAGCAATAGACACTGAATTTTTATTTCTTCTCAAACTAAATTATATAACCCAATATATGAATAATCCACATATGCCAAAGTGACTCAATAGTGGAACCATGCTTTGTTCTCAAATATATGTATATATGTACTATATATGTATTACACATTATTTGCCTGAGCTTTTAAAATTCATGAAACACTTATACATCTATCACATCACTTAATGCTCAAAACAGTTTGATAAATGGATGTGCAGGTGCGATCTTAAAGAAGGAAGGAACTGAAAGATTCTGGAGGTTGAATACATCATCTCAGATCACATAGTTTCAGACAGACTGAAACAAGCCTCAAATCTGACCATTTCTATCTCAGGCTTCTATTCTCCATGTCAGCCTGTTTCTCAAGTCAAAAGGTGTGAGGTGAATCCAAAAGAGAATCATAGGCTATAACTCCCTGAGATTGCTCCATCGGCAGTGACAATCCCAGAAAGGTAAATAAAGATATTTGGTGAAGATGGAATGGCTCTAGCACTCCCCAAAACAGCAGATCCACCTGGGGGCTTGATTCCCGAGCCTCTATTTGATCTGAATCTCTGGAGTCTTAGCGATGAGCACAAGCAGGCTAGCACTGTTTATAAAAACCAAACAAACCCACTGAATGACAATTGAAAATAATTAGATTTTTATTTTCAGACTCTTTTAATGCTCTCAAACTGAAAAGAGCTTTTCCAACAACCAGCTAGAAAAACCATGGTTAGCAATAATTTGGGAAATATTATTCTATTCACCAAATACAAAACCAGGCTGGTATCTCAATCAACATGCACCACGTAAGGAAGAAACATGCTTCAAATTCACTTTTCCAGATGATAAGTACAGACAGACCCAACCTGCCTGGCCTCTTTGCACCCAGTGTCCCCTAGACCTTGCTGTTGGTACTTCCTATTGCCCTGCTGCAGGCTTAGCCCCACCCCAAGCTCTGGGGCTGTTCCTAGCTCAAAGCAAGGAGCCCAAGGAGACCTTGGGAAGAAGCTCAGTTTGGTCCCATTCCTGC